CAGTATCGCATGTGCGGGATGGGAGAGGAGAGGTTGCCGAGAATTGTATGGGAGGCGAAGTGAGCAAACGGTAAGAGGGGTAGGCAACCCAAGGAATGGGTCAAGGTTGTAGAGGACGTATGGAAGGGGCTCGACATCGACGAAGATGAAACGCTGGAAACGGAGGGTCTACAGGGGTTCAAGGAGAAGATATCTGTTGCTTGTGCCGAGAGAGAAGAACAGAATCTATGGAAACGATCCAAGGAGAAGGAGGGTCTAGAAGTGTACGGAATGTTGAAGGAAGGAATAGGGTTCAAGGACTACCTACATGGACCAATGGATGCAGGAACAAAGCTTAAGGTCAAATTCAGGACCGGGGACATAGGCCTTCGAGAACGTCGACGAAGACATAGGACGGTAGACGAGGAAGACGACGAGTTCAAATGTGACTGCGGCTTCGAATGCGAAGACCGTGTTCATGTAGTCGCGGAATATCCGTTGTACAAGAAGGGAAGTGTAAGTAACTGAGCTGGGAAAAATAGACGGGAGGTACAGGGAGATGTTTGAGGCATGGAATAGAGAGGAAAGGACGGTAGCTGTACTGGGGCATAGGAGGTGGGTTGAAAAGGCGGGAAGAGATATCGTTAGGATAGACAGACTAGGGAAGACATTTTTGGGGCACCTTTGGCAAATTAGAAGGGAACGATTGGCCATCGATGATCGGTCCTGTGGGAACAATGCTCCGTCCTCTCGAGGACGCGTGGTCAATGGTCTAACCGCTAAGGCATGCAAAACGTAAGAGTACGCCCCCCCCCGGTGTTTGCCATCGGGAATTGGGTTTTCGTCGCTTGGTAACAACGTTGTAAAACAAGCCAATTCACGTCGTGAACTCGGCAACCAGTTTACCGTTTTTTTGTTTTCCTCCTTTTTTTTTTTTGGCGGTAACCATAATGGTGGTCGAGTAGATCATGTCGTGCGGGGTGGACAAGCCTCACTCCGCGTAAGGGGGATGATCGCACCACGGTGTGTTAAAATGGTCAAGCACCCTCGAGGCAGTTATACAGTGCTTACAACTGTCTCTGGAAGTGAAAGCACCAGAAAATAAATTAAGTCATACGCAGCTGTCATCCGTATGCAAGGAAGTAAGCACAAGATGCCGAACACCCTTAGCAGGATGCAGCGCACCCTTCATGCGACTCGCCGAATATCTCACGGCGCTTCGCCCTTGGTGATATGAGAGCCTGGCCCGGTGAGAACCCGGCGTGCTCCGTCCCGGCTTTGAAGGGATGCGAGGTCAGTGGTCTAACGATTACGGCATGCACGACAATGAGTACACCTCCCCTCCATCAGTGTTTGCCATCGGGACTGGGTGTTCGTCGCTTGGCAACGACGTTGTTAAACAAGCCAATTCACGTCGTGAACTCGGCAACCAGTTTTCCGTTTTTCTGTTTACCTCTGTTTTTTATTGGCGGCAACCATAATGGTGGTCGAGTAGATCATGTCGTGCGGGGTGGAGAAGCCTCACTCTACGTAAGGGGGATGGTCACCACGTTGTGTTAATTGGTCAAGCACCCTCGAGGCAGTTACACAGTGCTTCTTACTGTATCTGGAAGTGAAAGCACCAGAAAGTACATTACGTCATACACCGCTGTCATCCGTACGCAAGGAAGTAAGCACAAGATGCCAAACACCCTTAGCAGGATGCAGCGCACCCTTCATGCGACTCGCCGAATATATCACGGCGCTTCGCGCTTGGTGATGTGAGAGCCTGATCGGGTGAGAACCCGGCGTGCTCCGTCCCGGCTTTGTAGGGATGCGAGGTCAGTGGTCTAACGACTACGGCACGCACTACAACGAGTACCCCCCCCCCCCCCCCCCCTCATCATCACACCCCAAACACACCCTGTGGGTATTCGGACGTGCTAGCACACACCCCTTACCCCCTTGTTTATCACACTCCAAACACACCCTGTGCGTGTTCGGACGTGCTATCACACCCTCTGGTTTATCACACCCTCTTAAGGGCCCAAGCGAGCTGCACTTTCTCACCCGGGTTACATAAGATATCACACCCCCCACAGGATACCACACCCGGTGAAAATATTTTTAAAGCCCAACATGTTATCACTAGGGTGTGTCATCTTGTGTCGTCTACGTTATGTCCTGGGTCCTGAGGAACAGGGGCGATTTTCCATGATACCATATACATGACCGTCATATCGGGGTTTCTATCCACCCTGTCTGGTCATGATTTATGTACCTAATCCAAGCTGGGTACTGTCGTTACATACCCCCAACCGCTCGGCAAGAGACGCACACTTTCTCCCGTCGACAAAGGTTGGACGGCTCCTTTCTGCGAAACTGAGCAGAAATTTGTTACGTTTTCCAGGCGTATGTATTGACGACATGCATCACCTTTGTAGAGCAGCTGCTAGTCGAGCAAGCGGCAAGTACCTGCCATCACGGGGCACTGTTTTTCCTGTGCACGGCGCACCGACTCTGATTGCTTTCTTCGATCACTTTTTTGACAGGACAGGCCTGGCCTCAACGTGCTCTTTTTATCTCGAAGGCGAGGCAGCCCGCGGGGGCTGACTGACTGCTGTGGCATCTATTCTGCCCGTGTGCAGGCAGCTAGTGTAGCTGTGATTGCTTGGTAAACTCGGGCCTCGGGGGAGCGGCGTCGAGACAAACCTGGGAAGGGAAAGAACTCCCACCCATGTCGGCGGTGCCTTCCTTCGACACGACATCTCTCGAAGACCTCGTGGCCTTGGCGCAAGCGCAGGGGCTGCACGTGGAGGTAGGAGAGAGGAAACGCTTGGGATCACATGGTACAGCAGTCCAGTCGTCAGGCGGCAGGCAGTACGGGTTAGCAGCGTGTTGTGATTTTGACGGGCCTTGGTGTCGGCACACGATCGTGTACAGGGTGGTGTACCGCGGGCCTGAGAAGAGAAGGTGGCGTTCGAAGAGACACGCGTGTGGCCTCTTGACACAAACGACGGCAGGAAAAGCAAAACTGCTGGTACGCACTGGCGGATGTGCTGCGCTGTTGTTTGCTGCCGAATACATTCATCAACGGTGACCATGGTCGCTTTGGTATCGAAGGGTGAATTGCCTCTATGGTCCTTGCAGTTCGGCTCTTTATCCCCAGCGACGGTTTCTGAGCAGTGCAAACGCAGCCCAATCTCTTTCCTAAATGTGACGTCGCAAAAAGTTGCCTGTACTTTGTACATTTTGATCTTTTCTCACAGACGCGATTTGGACCCAGTTCCTCTCGGTTTCCCGACTCCTGCTGTCATATCCCCGTATCTCTCCCCCCCCCCCC